CCGCGGTCGCGGTGGAACCGCGACAGAGTCATTTTTCTGATTCTTCAGCCTGTTTTTGCGTGGTTCACTTGGGACATTTCACGATTGGCCTCTCTTTCTTCATTTTTTTGACTCCAAAAGTGCTCCCTAGCCTTCCCTAGTCATATATAACCTGCAAATCATGAAAAACACTAATAAGAGTATTTTATTATCACTTTTATTATTAAAACTATGCAAGAAGGCGGTTATTTAGGGCCTGAATATAGTTAAATTCACCTATTATCAGAAGCAGTTTTTTAAAGCTTGGCCAAACATTAATTGCTGCTCAGAAGTGCTTTTCAAACTAATTAGCCAAACACAAACTGCTTCTCACCAAAAGTACTTTTGAGAAAAACACTTCTCAAAATAAGCTGATTTTTGCAGCTTGGCCAAACGGGCTATAAGTCCCTCAATATCTTGGTATAGGCTTCAAGTGCAAGCGAAAATAAGTAGGAATTAGGTGGTTGAGAACTTCCTGGGATTTGACTTAATATATGGATAGGTACAAGAGAACCTTGGGTTGTTTTCTTTTCATGTTTCCTTGGTTATAAGCAAAAAAGTGTGAATCATGACCTAATGTAATTTGCTAGGATGCTGCGGCAAGCAAAGAGATCGAGAACATAGCTTTTTCAGCAAGATGTGGAGTTTATTGATGTGAAGAGCATGCCTTCTATTATACTCCTACAAATTAGTGAACAGGAGGCGATGCTTCCATATGGTTGCCTCTTTTATGACTGCTTAAATCTATCTTTCCTTCTCCATTTGAATTATCTCCATTTTAATAGTTAATGAACTTAGTATATATTTACCCACAGTTCTATTTAATTTAATAGTTTATCTAAGAGTTATTTAATGAATCGGTTTGGATAGATATCACAAATGATGAAGCAATTTCTTTCATATGTCTGTCATCAAAGCTTGCTTTTGTAATCCATATTTGTATACTTATTTTTTAACTTGAAGTAGTTGTATGACCATATCTTTGTTCAGTGCAAGTAGCTCTTTATTTGCTTTTTCATTTGAACTTATTTTCCTTCACCACATTCTTTCACTGAGTATCTTCAATTGATTTTGCTTAAGACTTAGAAGAACTCTTGCATTTGATAAACTAATGTCCTCTTTCTTAGAAGCATTTTTGGAAGTAACAAATGTTACTTTGAGTAGTTTCAAATCTGATTTAACTTGAAATGATTTTTTTGAAGGAAACTTGCACAAATGTCCCAAATAAGTCTCAACTTACCAACCTCTAGTCATTAGTCATTTATTGGAGATAATTAACTATTAAAAGAATCACGTGTAATGGAGAATCACATAAAAATGGTAATGCATTAATTATCTTTTCCCCACCCAAATGGTAATGGAGAAAAATAAATGTTTCTCCTCACAGTTACAGGTAATGCACTTTTTCAGTTAGCCAGAGTAACAAAATAAAATACTTTTAGATAGGCCCTTAATATATATTTGACTAAGAGACTCATGTATTTACCTTTTCCCCACCCAAAGATATATGTATAAATATATATTTATACTGAATATTTTGCTTAAATTTTTTTCTATTTCTTCTTTTCCGAAAGAATTTTTGATAGTGTAAAATGTTATTTATCAAAGCTCCAATTTTTGTATTGTGATTGATAATTAATTTTTATTGCTTAAGTGAAGTGTTTTAATCTCTTCTGTGTCAACTTATAGGACTATTCTAATTATATTTTTCACGAGCGCGATATTCACTAGTAGTTAAATAAAACGAAGAGAGTATTAAATATTTCCCCTTGTTATTCTAGTCTACAATACATGAGGCTTCGAGTCCTTAACCATCAACTTGAAAAGACAGAAACTTCGTAGGTAGCATCAACGAAATCAATTAATTACAAGTACTTTGCATATATAAAACCCTCATTCAAAGTGAAGAACACATAATATTTCCAGCTCTTAAACTTGCTTCTTATTAGCTTTAGTGTGGCACAGAAGCAAAAATCAAATATAATGAGATTAGGACAAAAATTAATCATGGCTAAGTTACATATTTTCTACTACTGGATAAACGATTTAGGCTTTACAATTGTTTAATGAGAACGAGCAGGAGACGTTTGTTCAAAAAGAAACATAAGAAAATTAGATGAATGATGAAGTTAATCTGGATTAAACCAACAGTAGCCTAAGGAACATGCGGCAGCTTTAATGAGAAGGTGGATGAACGATTTAGGCTTTACAATAATGTTTGTCGGTATGTGGAGAAGACTAATTTAGGCTAGCCATTATAATTTGTTTGGGACTATAAATTTTATGGATCAATTCATGGCTAGCGAATGATAATACTTTCCACTGGCCGGCTACAAATTAAATTTGCTCTTTTTTCTTTTAAGAAATGGGCTTAAGGCCTAAATCCCACTTGCCTATTAAAGATAAAACTAATAGTAAAAAAAGGATGAAAAGTATAAAAAATATTTGAAATTATTTATAAAATTAATACAATATATATAATTTTAAATATTTTTTGTATATAATTTAACTGAGTTTTCCAAATTTTAAATAAAATTATGCAATACCAAATACTATTATTTAAAAAAAATCCCAAACAAAAGAAAAATGATTTTTTTAAAAATCGTTTTGGCTCTAATTTTGATTTATATAAATATTTTGCCAAAATTGTGAGCACCCCTATATAAAGGTGACAAACGGACGGGTCAGGTCGAATGTGAGCGAGTCGAAAATGGGTAATTGAATATGATCACTCTTGGGAGAATTCCTAGTCTCCCAACCTTGAGGAATCCCCAATTTGAGGCTTCATAAATATAAAAGTTAAACTCATTAGTTATCCATTTTCTAAGTGGATAATATGGTTCTTATCCATAT